GTTAATTTTCCGTGAGCTGTGTTTGTGTTTGGCTAGTTGATGGTCAGACTTGATGACGGGCTGCTGGCTTTTGGGTTGAAAATTTGGCTCAATAGACTTTTTAGTGGGTCGGTGATGAAATCGGGGATATTTTTAGGGTAAGTTTTTAAAATAGACCTTTTTAAACACAAAATTATCAACTTTGGTCTATTTGCAAAATATTTATTCAAAACTAGGTTGATTTTGATTAAAAAATTTCCGAGCTATACTGATTGGCAATCCCGTGAAGTTAAATTGTGTGTTAAAGTCTCCGGATTCCCAATCTCGTAGAATTTATGGTTTTTTTTTTCAAAATCAATCTAGGTCTCAAAATATTTTTATCAAAATCGATCTATTTTCAGTCAACATTGCACAAATTTGATAAACAGGACTAGATCTATTTTGATAATTTTTTTTAGAAATAGATCTAATTCAAAAAAAAAATCATTTTTTTATTACTACAGAAATGTTTGCTTTCGAACTTTTAATTGTAACAGAAATTATAAAATTAGTTATGGTAACAACTAAACATTATATTTTTGTTTTGAAAACTGTAGCTGATTGTTGCCGTTGCAATTTCCATCAAGTAAAGGGTCCTGCTGGTCACCATCATTGAAAAAGCATCGCAAGTCATGATATCATTTAATAAGGATGTAATTATAATTGTAATTAGGGTTTTAATTAGTATTGTATTTCTGTCATTTTTTATCTCAATCATTTGAAACATAATCGGTAAAAAGTGTATGATCGGTTTAGAAAGATAGAGAGGATCGAAACTCAGGAGTTAATATTGTTAGGTGGTGTTTAAGTTGTGGTCCATGATTAGGTGCGTTTGATTGTTTCTTATTTTTTTTAATGGAGAGGATGACTAGATTTGCAATGGCGGGGCATTTGCTTTGCCCCAGAAATAGTGCTAGACATGTGCTTTACATATGTTCATCATGTTTTTGGCGTCATTTTAGTTTTGGTTAGTTACGTATATACGCCTTACTATTGGCCAATTGTTAATAGACTTCACGGTGAAATTTTTTATTTTTTATTTTTTATTTTTTATTCTCTAACGAGAAAATTGTTAAGTGAACCCTTTTAAGTTTTAGGCTAGATTTTAGGGAAAAACCCCTTTTAAGTTTAGAGGTTATCAGAAAACCCCCTTTAAGATTTATCAGAAAACCCTCGAAGAACTGCATCTGTGTTATTGGGTACTTCTACCATGAAGCCGTAGTCGTACCCGATACGTTCACATACCCAAACTTCATGAACACTCCTTGGATATATGCATATGGTCATTCAAACATGTACTCAATTATATGATATATGTTTTAATATAAAACATTTGTCATACACTTCTTGGATGTATGTCCTACACTTCATATGCATTCCAGAAACTCATTAGACTGTGGGTCGGGTTTGTTTCATCCCATAGACCTCATACACAAGTTAAAAACTAAAATTAAAGAGTTAGCTTCCAATTTGTAATAATCAACATAATAAAAGAACCTTAAAAAATGTTATGGGAATTTTAATTCTAATAATACACAAATTGAAAGTAATAATGATATCACGTAAAATTATTATGTCTATACATATATGTAATGTAGCCATATCTGTACCATACCTTTTACAAATTTGTTATCTCGTACTGGCACCCGCACCCCTACCAATTTCTGAATTTCTATACAACTTAGAACTGCATTAACCGCAATTTTTACGTTGATGGATAAAACCATGCAGAGATATCTTTCTAACAATGAAAATTGGGAATTCATACTTTTACGGGGGTTTTCTGAAAAAAAATAAAGTTAAGGGATTTTCTGATAACCCCTAAACTTAGGGGGAATTTTTTGATACTTTGAAAATTATGGGAGGTTATCTGATATTAGCATATAAAACTATAAGTGTCAACTCGCTCTACAGATTCGGAGTTTTGTGTAATGCTTAGAGGGATTTTAAGATGGTATTAGAGTAACCCAGGTTTCTACCCATAAAAAGACGCTCAGCTTGTGGAAGCATGTTAGAATACAAAACTATAACCCTCAACTCTCATCACAACTTTGAAGTTTTGATCTAATTGTTAGAAGACTTTAAATTTATTAATTGGCCAAAGTTAAGATTTTTTTATTATTAAATTTAGGCTTTTTTTTTACTTTGGTGGGCACCACTTACTTACTAGATGACAAGGATGGACGTTAATTTGCAGCCAGAGTCCGGACGTCTGTGTACATGGATCCATTGTGGAGGGACCTCATCTACCTTGGTCCACGAAAGAGAGATGTGATAAGGGGGCCATATTCTATACATTATAACAAGTTGTTGATATATTATATAACTGACAACTATATCATTGGCATCATCATCTAATTTTTTACCCTTTAAAGATTTGGTTCCCAAAACGTGCTATATAAAAGTGTATATAGGTAAACTCTACATTGTACATTATTGTGTTAATCATTTGGCATGTGCAATGCACATGCTGGAAATTATGACCTTTCTGCATCAAACTTGGTCAGTGATTTGAGGTGTAAAGTGTGCTATCATTCGAAAAGAGGATTTTAAAGGTTCTACGTTTTTATAACAACTGGGCATTGGTAGTTAGATTATTAAGTGAAAGTTTAACTACTTCTAAAAGGATACCCTGAACAAGACAATTTGTTTAGACTACTTTAGTTGGACTCAAGAAAAATACATAAACTTAAAAGGTGCAAATGAGTACTGTTCTATACAATCATGCTTGAATTTGGATTTCAAAATTTTCTCAATATAGTAAAAATTTTATCACTGAATTTAATTTAATATGGGATAGGAATACAGCGTCTCTTCCTAAATATTTTACTTATCTCTATCAGGATCCGATATTAGTATGAATATGGATATAGACGGAGCAGGATCAACATATCGCATAGATTGTTATATGAATAAAATTTAAGTGAAATTTATAGCATCTTTGGAGTAATGCAGTGGTCTGTATACATGTCATAAATCATAAGTGACTAGTGTAATGATAGATAGAATCTCTAGAGTTTATATTTAAGAGGTCCTTGTTGAATTAGGCGACATTACATTGACAGGTGTGTTTTATTACAGAAAATGAAGTGTAGCATATTCTTAATGCCTGCATAGAGACATACCCAATCCCTGTGTAGCACATTTCATTCTCGGTCTCCTTTTGCTCCCTTATTGTAGCAGAGAGTAAAAAGTTAGAATACAAGAATACAATGGCATTGTATAAGAAGCCCACTATCATATAGATATGTGAAGAAAGATTTTCAATAATTGGACGAATGATAGAACTATTAGGTACTGACATACGGGAATCATTGGATGCTATAGCAAAAAAGCCATAGACAATCTTGACCCATTCAAAACATAGACTAAGTTCTTATGGTCCCTGAGATTAACTGAGCTGTGGTTCCTCTTCTGTTCTCTCTTAAAACGACTCAGATGCCCTATTTGCAGATTTTTCATGTCAAACTTGAGCTCTGATCTCTATATTACTTCGTAGAAACTGGACTCTGGATTTGTTTACTGTATCATACATAAATTGGCCAGGCACTATGGAAACCTAGGGGGTATGTTTTTTAAGAAATACATGGAGAAGCATGCTGAATCATAGGATTTGAGAAAAATGAAATTATTTTTGCATCATAATATCTTTCTTAAAATCTAGGGTAGAGTTCAGAAAACTACATCCAGACGTTTGTTGATAGAGAAAAATATCTCATGGTGCTAACAACAGGGTCTTAAGTGGCTATTTTTCGCTTTTGACCTTTTCATAAGGATTTTACCCACTTAATACTTATTATATATTTGAACACATGAATCAAATAGATCTGCTAATATAGAGCATCTTAGTTGAATCCATGAACATGTGAAAATCACATGAGCAATTGATTAATATCATGGGATCAGCTTATTTGAGTTGCCCATAAAGGGTATAATCATAAGTTTGAAAATATAAATTTGACCAGTTTTCATCGTAAATCTAACACTTTTGAATTTTAGCCTTAGTTGTGGACAAAGCTGTAAGCAAGAGAAAGGATATTAGGCATTTTATATCTTTTATGCCATTTATGAAAGGCTAAAAAAACTGAAATAGAGGAAGTTTCTAAGATTTGTCGAAACACACTCATTTTAAATATATATGTTATAGTATAGGTCTCTATGAAGGGCCTTGATCTGGACTCCTTATTACAAACACTTATGCAACTAATGGTCAACCGTGTTAATTTTTTTAGATTTCTTTGTGAATAATTCTATAATTATGATATTCCTTATTATTCCAATTATAGCTGATACATCTCAGGTATGTCCCATTGCCCGAAGGAGCACTTTGCCTAATAGCATCAGCTGCCTTCAGTGCAGAATACCTACTATTCTATTTCCACTCCACTACCCACAAAGGACTCGAAGGCTATTACCACCTCCTCCTCGTCATACTCGTCGGCCTTTGTGTTGCCTCCACAATATCCGGTGCCCTCTTTGCCCACAGTTTCCATGTAGATCTCTTCAGTGGAATCGCTATAACTCTTCAGGGTCTCTGGTTCTATCAGACGGCGTTCACTCTCTATGGACCTATGATGCCGAGGGGATGTCATCTTGATGAGCTGAACAATGATGTTGTTTGCAAGTTGCGTGATAGTCAGGTGAGGGGGGAGATTATTGCGAATTGTCAGTTGTTTTTGCTCGTGTTTCTTGTGTTGGTATTTGTTGTTGGTGCATATGCTACGGCCGCCAGGTTGTACGGGCATCCGGAGTTGAAGAGTTGGCATGATGCTGCTCAGAGAGAAGAGAATGGTGAATATGAAGGGGAGAATCAAGAAGCTCTTGCATTCTGACAGGATAAGCAGGTTTGTTGATTGTTGTTAATTTCTTGGTTCTTTCTTTTTGAGGTTAAGCTTTTTGTTAGCTCAAAAAACATGAGGTTATTTTTTGGGTTTATCCAGTTTTCAATGTTTCTTTCAAGATATATTAGCTTCTGCCAAGGATCAAATAGAAATCTATATTTCACCCTTTCTTTTACTTACTAGGTGATAATGTTTTCTGTGTCTAAAACGATGATTATGTTTTCGTTTGCTAGAAATAAGAAATAATCTTGTGCAAGTAATGTTTGAGAATGGAGTGATTTACTTAGAAGTGAAGCTCTTCATGTTAATAAGCCTGATAAAAGCATGTTAATATTGTTGCATAAATGGTTTGATTGTTTTTATGATTTGTAGTTGATGTGTTCCTCTATGCTTTGGATCAAGTTGCAAATTTGTTGATGATTTTGAACAGAAGATCACAAGGGCACCATCCGCAACTTTGTTCAGAATACAATTGGTTCTGCTACGGGAGAGGGAGACGTCGTCAGTGAAGACTTATTAATTTTAGATTGAGCTGTTTTACTCGACTCATACAGTCATACGGCACTAATTTGAACATTTTAGAAGAGATTTTTTTTAAGGGGCTGTTCGTTTGGCAAAAAAAAACTGGAAATCAAAAAATAGGAAACCTATTTCTTATTATAATGGTTTTGAAGTTGTTTGGTTGGCTTAAAAAAGAAGGAAATTATAGAATAGGAGATGAGATGAGATGAGTTGTCACCTTATTATTGGATGACGTGAGTGATTTTTTAAAAAAACTTGTTTTGAGGTTGTTTGGTTGGTTAAAAAAATAAGGAAATGAATTGGAGGTATATTATTGGATGATGTTTTGAGGTTGTTTGTGTTTGGTTCGTTTTTAAAAATAAGAAAATAGATGAGATGAGATGAGTTGGAGGTATATTATTGGATGATGTGACACGTACTTAAGGAAATTGATTTCTTGTTTTTTTTTGAGGAAATGGATGGAAAGGAATGTTTAATGAGATGAGATGAGTTGTCACAATATTATTGGATGATGTGTGTGATTTTTAAAAATGAGATAAAATGAGATGTGATGAGTTGGATGATGTGACACATTTCTTGTGTTTGGTTTATTTTTAAAGGTAAGAAAGGAGATGAAATGAGATGAGTTGGAGGATAAAAATAATATTTTATTAGATGTTGTGGTGAGTTTTAGGGATGGAAATGGAGAAAAATATTATTTTATTGATTTCCTTGTACCGATTTCCTTTTCTTGGTTTTTAGGAAACCAACCAAACAGCCCCTAAGAGAACGAGACAAAGAAAAAGAAGTAATACTAATTGTATGTGCCACAGTATTTTGCAGAAATACATTATACCCCTTTTTAGTTGAGATTTTGTGGAGCCTAAGCTAACTATGTCGCGACTCTGAAAATACGATTATAATTCGGAGTTGTTATTCTTTGGGTGTATTAGTAACTGGAGGTAACCGAGCATACATAATATTTGCATAATCATGTAATAGACGAAGTGTGTTGACTTTTTGATTTGAATTCAATCTGGGTGGGACCCATTTCAAATCTCTTAGATTGTAGAATGACAGCATATCTTGGGGAGATTTTTTTATTTGATTGGGTCACTCTCACTTGTGGGTCCCCCCAATCAATCATACTCTCATTTTGTTTTCGGTGAGAGTTTTAACAAACATTAGAGAGACAGAGAGTTATACAACCACGAGAACTCTCAAAATTTTGTACTCGTGTTGAAACTCAGAGAGAAATAAAATTTAGCCCCCTCTTGCCATGGACGTAGATCAATTTGATCAAACCACGTAAATATTGTGTGTTTGTGATTGTCTCTTTATTTTCTAGTTTTGTGTTTAATGTGTTAATTTTGGTACATTTGATCAGATCATTACGGACCGCTGAGGGTTAATTAACCCAACAAACTGGTATCAGAGCTTCTCGGTTCTAGGATAGCTTTTAATCCTCCACAATGGCTTCTGTGAAGTTCTCGGTGTCGGATCTTCGATGGCCAGAACAATTTCGGCCTATGGAGGATAAAGATGAATGTTGCGACGTGAAGGCACGGTTAAAGCTATCGATGGGAAATACCCAGAAGATATGACTAGTGTCGAGATCAAAGAGATGGGTGAAAAGGCTCACAACGGCTTGCAATTGTCACTATCCGACAATGTGCTTCATGAGGTTGTCGATGAGGAAACGACAGCTGGGTTGTGGTCAAAGCTCGAAAGTCTCTACTTGAAGAAATCTCTTACTACGAGATTATACCTGAAGCAGGGGGGGCTATACATATTGAAGATGAAGGAAGGTACACCCATTCAGGAACACTTTGATGAATTTAATAAATTTGTCATGGATATGAAAAACTTGGATCTAAAGCTTGATGATGAAGACCAGACTCTCATTTTGTTGTGTTCCTTGCCTGACTCTTATAAAAACTTTGTTAACTCTTATGTTGTATGGAAGAGAATCCATAAGTCTTGAGGATGTGAAGGCCTCTTTGAATTCTGTTGAGTTAAGAACAAAGTTGAATGGAAGAGGTACCGATAGGCAGGCTGATGGACTGCTAGTCTGCTAGCCAGAGGTAGAACGAAGACCAGAGAGGGTGATAAAGGGCAATCCAAAAATCGTTCAAAGTCCAGGTCATCCTAAAACAAAAAACATATGGAGTGTTTCTACTGTCACAAGAAAGGACATTACAAATCAGAATGCTATGCTCTAAAGAAGAAAGACAACCAGCGTGGTAAAACCTCAGATTCAGCTAATACGACAAAGGTTGATACTGTCGTTGTTGCTGGGACGGTTCTTGCAGTTTGTCCCTTGGATGGTCGTTCCGATAGAGAATTGATCTTGGATACGGGTGCGTCTTATCATATGTGTCCAAATAAAGATTGGTTCACTACTTACAGATCTATAAGTGGTGGATCAGTTTTGATGGGCAACATTGCAGTTTGCAAGACAGTTGACATTGGTACAGTTCGCATCCGGTGTCATGATGGGATAGTGACAACTTTATCAGATGTGAGACACATCCCAGACTTAAATAAAAATCTGATTTCTTTGAGTTCTTTGGATTCTATTGGGTGTTCTTACACTAGTGGAGGTGGAGCTCTTAGAGTTACTAATGGTTCATTGGTTGTGATGAAAGGTAGTAAGATGAACAGTCTTTATGTTCTCCAAGACAGTACGGCGACAGGCTCTGCAGGTGTGTCCTCTGATGCTGATAGGGACACTACTCAGTTGTGGCACAGGCGCTTAGGCCACATGAGTGAGAAGAGGATGACTATTTTGAGTAAACGTGGCTTACTCTGTGGTGACCATACATCATCACTGGATTTCTGTGAGCATTGTACGTTTGGGAAGCAAACTCGGATCAGCTTCTCGACTGGCTCACATACAACGAAGGGCACTCTCGACTACATCCATTCAGATTTGCGGGGACCTGCTCAGGTTCCATCCAAAGGTGGTGCTCTTTATTTTCTGACGTTTGTTGATGATTTTTCAGGAAAGTTTGGGTTTACTTTCTCATGAGCAAAAGCGAGGTGTTCGAAACTTTCAAGAAGTGGAAAATACTTGTTGAAAATCAAACTGAAAAGAAGATTAAACGTCTCCGAACAGATAATGGCCTAGAGTTCTGCAGTGGTGAGTTCAATCAGTTCTGCTCAAATTCTGGGATCGTACGACATCGCACAGTCAGACACACTCCTTAGCAAAACGGGGTGGCAAAACGCATAAATAGAACGTTGACGGAGAGAGCTAGGTGTATGCTCTCAAACTCTGGGTTGGATAAAGACCTCTGGGCTGAAGTTATTAATACAGCTTGTTACTTGGTGAACCGGTCTCCTTCTACCGCCATTGAACACAAGACTCCAAATGAGGTATGGTCAGGTAAACCAAATGACTATTCAAATTTAAAGGTATTTGGATGTCCCTCTTACTATCATGTTAGAGAGGGTAAGCTTGAGCCTAGAGCTAAGAAATGCATATTTATTGGTTATGCTGATGGCGTTAAAGGCTATCGTTTGTGGAGTCTTAAACCTGATTCTCCTAAATTCATTATTAGTAGAGATATTACTTTTAATGAAAGATATATGTTTGATCATAGGAAAGTTTCTGTTGAGTCTACAGGAAATGTAGAGAAGACTATGGATAAGGTGGAGCTTCAGGTGGAGCTCGAGGGAGAGACTTCTCAAAAGTCGTTTATAAAAATTACTCCTACAGTTGTAGAAGAGCAACATGATTCAGGCTCAGATGATGATGATGCTGAGACTGAAGAACCTTATTCCATAGCCATTGGCAGAGAGAGGAGACAGATCAGACCTCCTCAAAGATATGCACATGCTGAATTAGTGGTGTATGCTCTCACGACAGCTGAAGAGATGTGTATTCAAGAGCCATCAAACTTTACTGAAGCTGTCTCATGCGGAGAATCTGGACGTTGGGCCACGGCTATGACAGAAGAACTCGAGTCACTTTATAAGAATCAGACTTGGGATTTGGTGCAATTACCTAAGGGTAAAAGGGCAATTGGATGCAAGTGGATTTTCAAGAAGAAAGAAGGGATCCCAGGGGTTGAAGATGCTAGATTCAAAGCACGGTTAGTGGCTAAGGGTTATAGACAAAAGGAGAAAATTGACTATGATGAAGTGTTCTCTCCGGTTGTGAAGCATACCTCTATTCGTGTATTGCTTGCCATGGTTGTTCTATTTGATCTAGAGCTTGAGAAGCTTGATGTGAAGACTGTATATTTGCATGGCGAACTTGAGGAGACTATCTACATGTCTCAGCCAGAGGGATACTTCGTAGAAGGTAAAGAAGATCATGTTTGCAGATTGAAAAAATCTTTGTATGGCCTGAAGCAATCTCCCAGACAGTGGTACAAGAGGTTTGATAATTTTATGCTTCGTCATGGGTACTCAAGAAATACTTATGATAGTTGTGTATACTACATGCATCTAGGAGATGATTCTTTTACTTATCTTCTATTATATGTCGATGACATGTTTATTGCTGCTAAGACATGCCACAGATTCTTATTTTGAAGAAACAACTCAGTGATGAGTTTGAGATGAAAGTTCTTGGTGCAGCAAAGAAGATCTTAGGTATGGAGATCAGGAGGGACATGAAAGCTGGAACATTATATCTCTCACGGAAGGGTTATATTGAAAAGGTGCTTGAACGCTTTGGGATGAAGAGGGCCAAGCCCGTTACGATTCCTTTGGCTCCTCACTTTTGGCGACCATAAAGCTGGTTATCTTTTGGCACTCGTCTAATTTGTCAACAAGTGAGAACAAGAAGATCCATACTCTAATGCAGCGGGTAGCATTATGTATGCTATGATTTGCACTCGTCCAGACATTGCCCAGGCAGTCAGTGTAGTGAGCAAATACATGGCTCAACCAAGGAAGGCACACTGGGAAGCAGTGATGTGGATCATTCGGTATCTCAGGGGTACCTCAGATTTGGGTTTAATTTTTGATAGCAGTACTTTGGGAACCTCAGTTGTAGGTTTTGTGGATTCTGACTATGCAGGTGATCTCGATAAAAGAAGATATTTGACTGGTTATCTTTTTACTCTTTCTGGCTCAGCTATTAGTTAGAGATCGACTCTACAGTCGACAGTTGCTTTGTCTACTACAG